TTGCAACTAATAATATATCATACCACATTTGAGGAGATAAGTTACACCTTCCACCTAAGAACAGAGTGGCATAGAGAAACAGATGTGTGTTCATCTGAGAATTCAAAATCTTGTCAGAAATTTCATCACCTTCCTTCCTTTCTTGCAAATGAGCATCATGATTTCAAGCAAAATGGTTTACTGATGAGATTCCAGAGGGCAGCCCAGCCAGTTCACCTGGTGTGTAACTACAAGGTTATTATGCTCTGGAAATGGATTCACTGCACTTGTTCAAGTGCAAGCTGCTCCCTCCACTAAAGGGGAGGGGGTCAAAAAAGAGACCAGGACAAAAACACAAAGGCGTTGACGACTGGCCTGAGTTGCTGTCTATATTTTATATATAAAGACTTAGTGTATGGGAGCTAATTATATTAACTATCTTGGGTGAAAAGCTATTAAGATTGTATTTCCAAGTTACTGATCATCTTCCTATACAGAGTACGTAGGCATATGAATGGACTTAGTCCCTGTATTAGAAACAGAGCAAACCAGATAATCTTTGTTGTACAACTTCTCCAAGTTCATTATCTCTTTGGCAACGCTTTGCCAGAGACCAGACATACAACTGCCACTTTAGAAAGAACTCTCTGGCAATTGATGTTAGAAGCTTGCTAAAATGCATTTAATCCCCATTTTCTCATTCCTCTTCAGATCAGACATAGAAAAGTTGCTCAGGAAATGCATTTTTTCCCCCAGTGATTTAACCATACTGAGTTTGTAAAACTTTCTCTCCCAGTTAACACGTGAGTCCTATGGGGGCTTCCCTGTTTTGTGTGAATTACAGCTGGCACTTGCAAATGCAGGATATTCAGGAGGAAATAAAAACCACTTAAGTTGACATTATTTAATGTCAAAAGAAGCTGAAGCTCTCTTTCCTCTCTCACTCTCTGGTCTTGTCTGAGTCTTCAGGGAAAAACATCTAACTGGAGATGAAATGTTATGTGGATGAGCGTCTTCATCTCCTACTCATCAGCAGACACTTTATGTCAAAGATAACGGTAGTAAATGAAAGCTTGCTGTCGTCAGACACAGTATCTGCACGTGAGGGTCTCTCCTCCCCACCCAGAGCCAACAGAAGATAATGTGCCAACAGCCCGATGGGAAATTTAAGATGACCTGTTTCTCTGACTTATTAAAAGCTTAGTCAAAGCCCAAAGATTTCTGAGTACCCATAAAACGAAGAAACTATTACACTAAAATTAAGAAACAACAGCAAACTACCCACAGGAAGCAAGTACTGGAACGAGACCTGACTCAAGGACAGCTGCATTAAACTCATACAAGTGATCTCAAATAAAGAGTCTGCATTAATTATGTCAGTAAATAATGCTTTCATGAAACTCGTTTCTGTGTCTCTGTTGCTACAAAACATATTTCTTTTATGTAACCATTTCCTGTCCTTTAAAATCCATGCTGAAATTACATGAAAGTTGAAATATTTCTTTTTACATGATTTCCTTTGGAAATTTCCTGATTTAAAATGTAGGAAAATTAGCAATTTAACATAAAACCCAATGATTTGATCAGATCACATAACTGCTATTCAGTTGCCATCGAAAAGTACAAAGCAGAATCAAAGCTTAGAAAATTATTTTCAGAAAGTAATTTAGAGGTATTATTACATTTGAGCTTTTAACACATTAAGAAAATGCACATTAAGAAAATAAATATTTGAAGATACAGCTTATCGTAAACACCTATATGATACAAGCTCTGGTTAATTAACATTTCTTCTTTGGCTATTTTTTCAATAATAAAGAATTTGAAAAAATCCATCACATTTCTAAGAAAATAAGTTTGGAAAAATTACCTAAAATAATTAAATTTAAAAAACAATTAAAGTATTAAAAATGTTTGCAGTACATTTATGCTAAAGGATCATATAGCAAATAATTTACTCTGAGATCGGAAAACTCAATTTTACATAAAAATACTTCAAGAGTTCATGGAAAATGTAAGATAATATTTTGTTACGGCCAATTATTTTGAGATCCACATTTAAGTTTTTCATTATATACATTTGTCATGAACACTTTGAAGATTTGATGTATCATTTCTTGGGAACAGACTTAACACAGTCTCATGCAAGGTTTCCTTGGAATCTGGAGGAGGAAAGGATACAAAAGGACAGCACTTGACAATGTAACTCCTGAATAATCTCATGAATACCAAAGTTTATTGAATTCACATCTTTCAGGTCTAATAATTATTCTTAATTATTCCTATTAGGAAAAATATGCAATGGATATTTCTGACAGCTATTTATTATGGTGAAAACCAGCAAGCAAGCTATCAATACTGGGCTGCCTTAACTAAATACTGTCTCATCTTCACAATGGAATTAACACTTACCTGTCATATATGACAGGCGGCTGAGCTTCTTTTTTAATGAAAAATGTTCATTACACATTTCTAAGTGAGCAAGCCACAAGACGGCATGAATATACAATTCAATTTTTTGGAACAAGTATAGGAAAAGAAATGTAAGGAGGGTAGGGCATATATGTCAAAATACTAAATGCACTTCATTTTGGGTACTATGGCCTAACAATGCATAAAGATGAAGACAATAGTTTAGAATCATGTCACTGTAACATTTGTATATGAGAATTTATAGATTAAAAAACTGAAAGTAAGTGAATGCAAACAGATTTTGGGGGGGAGAAAGAAAACACAATAGGACACACTTGGATAGAGGTGTCTTTGGTAAGAACTGTGCAATTTGCTCACTTGCTGGTAGAGCACATGGACTCACTGGGGTCAGGGCAGGACAAGGAGGAATCAACCAGGCCTTGACTTCTTTCTTCCCAGTTTCCTTTCCTGATTATTGACTTACTGACATCAAAGTAAATATAACGGTGAAGAAGTCCCCAGTCACATCACTGTGCCCTTCCGCAGGTCTTACAATTATCCTGACAACCACACTGCAATGCTATACTGGCATAACAAAAATGACTGATAGCCCAACGAATACATGCCTTTTTAAACTTAGGCTTCAATGAATTCATATGGGAGCTTTATTAAATAAAGGGAACAGAACATTTATGCTATCTACTAGATGTAATTACTTTGAATTTTAATTGTAAAAGGATTTAAAGAGTTACAGAGCGAGGGAGGGAAAGGCAGTCATCTTCCATCTGCTGTTGGTTCACTCCCCAGGTGGCAAGAGCCAGGGCAGGAGCAGGCCGAAGTCAGAAGCTTTTCCCAGGTCTCCCATGTGACTGTAGGCACCTGAGCAGGTGGGCCACCCTCTGCTATCTCCCCAGGTTCATTGGCAGGGAGCTGAACCAGAGTTGGAGCATCTGGAACTCTAACTAGAGCCCTATGGGATGCCAGCACTGCAGGCAGCAGCTTTGCGTGCTGCAGCACAGCTTTAGGCCCTAGCTTGAATTCTTGTAACAATATGTATGTTGTATAACTCTGATTCTGTATCTTAAATAACAGATTTTTCTGCTTATCCGCCCATGCGGTAAGTCTACTGGATTAAAACATTTGACAGAAAATGATACACTAGATTTACTTATGTTGTATTTATTGTCACAGTGAAATACTTTAGGAGTGTTAAGGCAAATATTGCTCAAGGCAACTAGTGAGGCAGGGGTTACAATTATCCCTTTACAATTATCCCTCACTCCCCGTGGGAAAACCAAGCCCTAGAAAAGCAGTGAGTCTCCTGCTCAGGGTCACATGGCTAAAAGGTAACAACACAGGGTGCTAAGCTAGAAAGTCTGCTTCCAGAACTTGTGCTTTTTACATTAATTAAAAAAAAAAAGACATTCAATTTTAGAACAGTTCTAAGCAAAGAGAAATTTTGAAAGAAAAAAATAATAATGTGTTCATGAATATCCCTCACCCAGCTTTTCCCTCTTGTTGAACTCTTACGTTAATACTATCTTTGTTAGAACCAAGGAACCCATGGAGCCTGGTGCAGTAGCCTAATGGCTAAGATCCTTGTCTTGCATACATATGGGCATAGATTTGTGTCCCGGCTGCTTCACTTCTCATCCAGCTCCCTGTTTATGACCTGGGAAGGCAGTTGAGGATGGCAAAAAGCCTTGGGACCCTGCACCCACATGGGAGACTCTGAAGAAGTTCCTGGCTTCAGATCAGATCAGCTCTGGCCATTGTAGCCACCTGAGGAGTGACTCAGCAGATGCAACACCTTTCTTTCTCTCCTCTCTGTAAATTTGACTTTCCAATAAAACTAAACAAATCTTTAAGAAAGAAAAAGAACCAGGGAGCCCATAATGACAACACAGATATTAACAAAACATCATACCTTGCATCAATTTTATTAGCTTTTTTCTAATGTGTTTTCTATTCCAAGATCCACACGGTACACTACAGACCACTGTCTCTAGCCTACTCGTCAGGATCCTGAGAACCGCTCAGGTATTCTGTAGATTGTCTTCTGAACTGAGCTGGTGTGATCTGTTTTTCATACAAAGACTGGGATTATGGTTTCGGGAGCAAGACCACAGAGGCGCTGTGCCGTTTCCGGGCCTTGCATCAGGGGCACCTGCTACCAACAAGCCTACCACCTTGAAGACGGGGGAAGGAACTCCACCGAGAGGCTGTCAGCCCCCTCAAGCCTATCATTTCTGCAGCGTGCTTGATGGAAGCAAGCTAATCACACCACAATTCAGGCAGGGGAGGGAGGCAGCAGGAATGGGTGTGGGTATTCAAATGATTTGGAATGCCTGTAGGAACCTTTACTTTCAACCCTTTACTCCATATTGCCTCTCACATTTCAATCCTTACCATTCTGGCATACAATTCATGTTCAAAAACTTAAAAATCTCAATTCTTAACTCCTACCTATTCAAAAGTCCAAAAATACGTTAGAACTGATTGTGACAATAACAAATTGTTTCCAAACTATGTTCCACAGACTACTACAGGATTTGTCACTGATGAATTAGAAACTAAGTCTTCCCAGAAGCACGCTGCACAGAACTTACCAGAAATATCCGTTCCAGTTGATCCTGAATGTCTTTCATTCCTGGAAAAGCAGCAACTCCTTGGATCATTTCAACAAAGATGCAGCCGACGCCCCTAAAGAGACACGGGAGAATCATCACAGAACTTTAATACATTCTGCTGAGAAAGCTAAATCTGAAATTAAGGGAAAGCAGCAAGGAACACACTAGCCCATGTCAGGCAACACATGCCTGGCTCCCCTCTGCCTCTATCTGCTGTCCTCAGAAGAGTCTCAACAGGGGAGACTACAGTGCACTCAGGAAAGGCCGAACAAGAAAAGAGAAAACTCCAGTCGTGCCTCCTCTGCTTTCAGCACAAAGCTGCAAGTGCGTCAGGCTCCACAGCCTTCTTCTCACATCCCTTCCTGCTGTTTCTCCTAGGTATCGCAACATGAGCCTCCCAGAGATTCTCAGTCATGTCTGCATCAAGAAATCATCCGGGGAACTGTTCAAAATGGCAAATGATCTGAACACAAATTCTAGAGTTTCTGTCTTGCTTTGGAGCCCAGGTGTGGCCATGCCAGCCTGGATGACTCAGAGCAGCTGTATAGCAGATTGCTGAGCCAGACTGATCCACTCCAATGCCAAGCAAAAAATGACACAATTTATCTCAAATTGCTTCGTTACCTAGAATACCCTCCTTCTTCACCTACGGATAGCTCAAATTCAACTTCGGTATCTTTATCTAAATGTTATCTCCTACATAATGCCTTCCTTGAATCTGGAAGCACACAAGACAACTTCCTGAGCAACACATCTGCTATCTACTATGTTCCACTGCTTCTTCTGGCTTAACCGTGTTGCCCAGAGCTCCTACCTAACTGGTAGTCCGGCGAATCATGGGAGCTCCACTTGGAAATCACAACAGCCATGCCTTCCCAACAGGAACAACCAACCAGTCCACAATGAGGGCAAAGTGATGATCCACCCCCTGGGACTTCAGAGAACAGAAGGCCAGAGCGGGCGGGTCGGATAAACCACGTTAATAGCACTGCCCGGCATGAACGCTCACACATTCCTGCAGTTAACCTGCACACACTCATCCAGTCCCTGGCAAACGGAAGCCTGGTGTCTCCCTCCTCTCTCCTGACAATTTTCAGATTTTAAAAATGACTAACTTGAATGGAGATACATTTTTAGATATATATTAATAGTATATAATTATGTTCTATATTTATATATTACATTCTTAATTATTTTTATACCACATATTCTCTATACTATGTATTAATATCAACAATATTTTAATATATTATAAGTAAGTATTTATAAATATGTATATTTAAGAATCTTGATGAAACTATGAATATATTGGAATCTTTGATTACTAAATTCACATTAAATTAAGGAACAGTAAACCCTTGCATGTAACTTACTTTAAAACCCTAAGGTTACAAGAAAATAACAGAGTTCTTTACAGCTGCTTTCTAGTTGGTATTACAGTTGCATATAAACAATGTTTTGAATTAAAGAATACAAAAATATCTTCCTTTCATTCCATATAATATCTATTCAAATTAAATTCCGTAGGGTCAAAAGTACTAAAAGCAAAAACTACTTTGTATCATAAAAGCAATTTTATTGAGGCAGCAAAGAAATCATCTCAAATCAGTGTTCTAAGCAGATGCGTTTTAACATAAGCTGTTTTCAATTCATATGGGAGAAGATAGCATAAATGAATTATTTTATTACTATACTAAACACAATTATATGCTTATGCATGCTACGACTTTAGATGTCTGATTAAGAATATTTAAAATTCCAGTTTTGTTATTTTCCAAATTGTTCTGCCAAAAACTCTTTTCTAATATTACCAGAGTATATTTCTATTGTCTCCTTATTCAAGTTTATATGAAGTGTCTTGGCTCTTTTAAAAAGATTTTAAATTTAAAATCTATTTACTTCACAGTGAGATAGACACACAGAGAGAAATCTTCAAGTCGCCGGCTCACTCCCCCCAGACGCTCCAGCGTCGCGGTCTTGGGCCAGGGGGCAAACAGCAACTGACAACTCCACCTGGGTCTCCTGCGTGGGTGGCCGAGGCTCATCCATCTGAGGCAACACTATGTCCTCACAGGGAATGCATTTGCAGAACAAGGACTCAAACCCAGGCATTCTGGTGCAGGATGCAGGCACTCCAAGGGTCTCTTAAATGCCTCACTCAACACCCACCCAATGACCTGGATCTTAAAGAGCTTCCTGTACTTATTTCCTACACTCAGAACATACTCTCTATTCTCCTTCGGACCAGTAGGACGATGGTCAGCAGAAGCTACGGCCATCCCATCACGGATACCGCCAACACATCAGGGAAGATATTTGCTGGGGAGGACAGCAGACATCATTTCTCTGACTACCAATGTGTTTCGTCTGTATCACCTCCACAGAGTGAAACCGAGAGTGACAGAGGGAAATCTATACTGGCGATTCTAATCAATTGGCATGAAATGATACAGCATTGCTATGGGCTCTGATTTGCTTAGCTGACTAAGGGACTTCCACTTCTATTTCTAATAGGCATCGCCTATGACCCATCTTTCTCAAACTTGCCTCAGAGTGTGCTCACGAAACTAAGACAGACAGACTTAAAGGACATACGAAAGACAAATATGAAACCCGGGAGATTTTTAAAAATAGATTTCTAAAACAAATAGATAAATTAATATAACAGAATTCTTTATGTCATTATCAAAGAGCAATCAAAGCCCTTCATTTTAACACAGAGGGACTGCTGCCTGCCGTCCTTGTGTTCCCCCCCTACCCTTCCCATCCTTCATTAGCTCTATGTTCCTTCTCCCTTAATAGACTAGGTTGACTACTGAGTGGCTGACTGATAAAGAATCCATCCACTTAAGCACTGTACTTGTGATATATAACCTTGTTATCAGGAAAAGCCTAATTTGCTGCTTCTTTCAGAACATGAGTAATTATATAATTATGACCCACTTAGTCTAAATTTTTCAACAGTAACTACTGGTCACAAAAGCTTACAATTAAAGGTGTCATAGAATGAAGTGGGTTCCAACACTTGTTTTTAGATTAGTCACCTGGTAAGGTCTCACAAAACATCTGCCCATGTTAATGTTATCTTTCATATTTTTTAACCCCAAAGTTCCACATTTATTTTATGTCATAGGCACTCGAATTTTTCATCAAAACTCAAAACAAGATTCTCAGCAAAATTGAGCATTGTTTAGCAGAACAAATAGGAAAGAGGGTCTCCTAGGCTTCAAAGTCAGGTATCTGGATCATAGGTTATGAAAAAGATATAAAAGTGAATTTAGAGTGAGAAAATTAAACAAGAACACTACTAAATAAAGGAAATGATAAAAACTCAGAAACATATAGTGATATTCATTGTTATCTGATGTGTTTTTCCAATGTTTTTCCCCTTGTAATCTTGGCTGTACAATATTCAATATATTGTCCTCTAGCACGATGGTGACACTTGCTTTGGGCGTTGTTCCTAACAGAAAATTTTTAGCTTTTCATGTCATTAGAGGTAACAATATGTAAACTGTTAGGACTGTTGTGAATTTGGGGGAAATTCCTACCAGGTTTCCTTCACAGAGTTCTGCATGCTATAAAAACAGTAATCCTAATATTCAGTGTTTGACACAACACCAAGGTGTGAGGGACATGCCAAGCTCAGTGGGGCGGGGGGATTCACAGAGCAGCAGAGGGCTAAGGAATGTTGAGAGAGCCCAATGCTGTTGCTAAGCCTCGGAGTAGAAATTGAAGAAAGGGTTTCAATAGCAGAAATCCTCACCCAGTGCTAAGAAGCCTGTGTTTTAACTCCAGAATGATCATATACGAAATGGAGACATAAAAGTGGACCAGCTTCAGATCAGCCCCGCTCTGGCTGACATGGTCCTTTCCAGAGTGAACAAGCAGAGAGAAGATTCTCATTTTCATTCTCTCTCTCCCTCTCTCCCTCCCTCTGTACTCTGACTTTCAAAGCAAACTTTCCAGAGAAAGAATACGACCTTATCTGCTTCAGAGTAGGAACAGGTAAGTCCAAGGTTACTTTGGGAAGTAACCTTGATCCCTCAGACTGGGTCAAATTCCCTGAGTGCATGCTGTCCATGATTCTTTCTACAACCGTAATCTGTTGGCTTGTTTGAGCATGGCATCACTTTTCACAAATCAAAGATCTTTGTTTTAAAGACACAATTCGAATGAATAAAGGGGATATGTTGCGGCAACACAGCAAGTGTACCAGACTTGAATGATGTGAGCTCAGGTCAGAGAAGTCATCCATTGATGCCCATTCCAATGATTACTAATGCAGGATCATTCTGGGTGCAGGATAACCTAGCATCTTTCAGGTAAGATGAGGATTAATGGTCTCCAGCAGCATGCATGCTCAGAAAATGTCTACCTTTGATATATATGGAGCCAGGTGTAATAAACTCAGTTTTTTCTCACAGACATAACTGTTCATACAAGATAATTAACTTAAATAAAAATTATCCCTTGCTCAGAAGTCTAACAAGGGCTACTGTTCATCAGTCTACCTTCATCTATTTTTGGTTTTAGCCAAAACATTAAAAAACAAAACATTTTTTCTTCTTTAATTTTGAAGCCAAAAGATCTCAATGGACAATGCATATGGAAATGCATATGGAAATACTACAAGCTCAAGACAAATCTAAGATTTACTTTTCAAAATTCCATCCACTTAGAACAAAGAGCTTTAACTGGCAAGTGCTAGCTTCAGTCTCAAGCGACAGGGGCTGCTGACAGCACCGGGAAGAATCATGACCCCGCACAGCACATGCACCCCACCTGTACAGAAAGCACCTCCGCCCACCTGGCCCCCTTGCGGTGGTGGTGAGGGAAGCCCTGAGCCTTCTCACCTAGACTCCCCTAACTGCAAGCCTGAAGATGCTTCTGCTCAAGTTCAGACAACCGGAGCGATTCACAACCATCTCCATCATGAAAACATTTGCCAAGGCATCTTCCAGAGACGCCACCAAGCTTCATTGGGCAGAAGATTAGCAGATGGACAGAACCATAACTCGCTGTGAGTTTCTGCCTTTCTCCCTGTCAACATTATGCTGGTCCCAGGAATGT